CCACAAAACAAACTCAGAGTTAAGGCGATAATGCATCCCTGTTGTACCTTGGCACAGGAGAAAGCATTTTGCAGTGACCATCTGGGATCTGTAACATTGTAATAAGGGCAAGGGCACCAACTCATAGAGGAGCCAAGAGGCAACACTTTTGCTCCTGCCAACTCAGATATGTTCTTGTAAGAAGGTTTTTCCAGGAAACCAGCATTTCAACTTTTACAAGGCATTTGAAGACACCAGAAGTTTTTTCACTGCTTTAACCGGCGTTTAATGCCAAGCAAACAGAAGATGTTCAATAAATACTGATGAAAAAATTTTGAAAGTGCAAAACTATTGCTATGATAATAAAAATTTCCTGATCTTTTACCTTACTCATAAGACACCGAAGGATGAATAATTCTTTACCCAAAAACAACATTTCAGGTAAGTTGAGAGGAGGTGTAATTTATTAAGTACTATTGAATTTGTACACCCAAAAGTCACTACTAAAATGCACTTCTACATCCAGATGGCTAACAGACACATGAAAAGGTGTTCAACTTCACTCATCATCAGGGAAATGCAAATCAAACCCATGATGAGATACCACCTCACACTGGTCAGAATGGCTAAAATCAACAGCATAAGAGACAACAGGTGTTGGCAAGGATATGGAGAAAGGGGAACCTTCTTGCATTGTTGGTGGGAATGCAAACTGGTGCAGTCACTCTGGAAAACAGTATGGAGGTTCCTCAAAAAGCTAAAAATAGAGCTACCCTATGACCCAGCAATTGCATTACCATAGGTATTCACCCAAAGGATACAAAAATACATTCAAAGAAGTACATATACCTGGATGTTTATAGCAGGATATTATCAGCAACAGCTGAACTATGGAAAAGAACCCAAATCCCCATCAACTGATGAATGGATAAAGAAGATGTAGTATACACACACACACACACACACACACACACACACACACAATGGACTACTACTCAGCCATCAAAAATAATGGAATTTTGCCATTTGCAATGATGTGGGTGGAGCTAGAATATATTATGCTAAGTGAAATAAATCAGTCAGAGGAAGACAAATACCATATGATTTCACTTGTGTAGAATTTAAAAAACAAAATGGATGAGGAGTGCCTGGGTGGCTCAGTTGGGTAAGAGCCTGACTCTTATTTTTAGCTCAGATCATAATCTCAGGGTCATGAGATTGAGCCCCATAAAAGGCTTTGTTCTCAGTGGGGAGCCTGCTGGAGATTCTCTTTCCTTCTCCCTTTACCCCTCCCCTGGCTCATGTTCTTTCTCCCTTGCTCTCTCTAAGTATATTAACAAATCTTGAAAGAAAGAAGGAAAGAAAGAAGAAAGAAAGAAAGAAAGAAAGAAAAAGAGAAAAAGAGAAAAAGAAAGAAAACAGATGAACATTTAGGAGTGGGGAGAGAGAGAGGGAAACAAATCATGAGAGACCTTTAACTACAGAGGAAAAAACAAGGTTGTTGGAAGGAAGTGGATGGAGGATGGGACAGGAGAGTGATGAGTATTAAGGAGGGCACTTTTTATGATGAGCACTGGGTGTTGTATGATGAACCACTGAACTCTACTCCTGAACTAATTTTGAACTATAGATAAACTAACTAGAATTTAAATTAAAAATAATATTAATAAAATAAAATAAAAATTAAATTAAATTAAATTAAATGTAGTTCTATTACTACTACTTCTACTAAGAATGTGAAAAGGCAAATTTTAAAAGTTTTAAAATGTCTTGGCCCTCACTCTAAAAGCACAAGTGTCAAAAAAAATAAATAGGTAAACTGAATCTCTTCAAAATTAAAAACTTTTGCAAGGCAAAGGACATCATCAGTAAAGCTAAAAGACAGCCCATGGAATGGGAGAAGATACCTGTAAATCATATATCTAATGACACCAGAATCTAGACTATATAAAGAACTCCTATACCTCAATAGTTAAAAGACAAATGGGCAAATGATCTGAATAGACATTCCTCCAAAGAAAATAGACAAATGCCAATAAAGCACATGAAAAGGTGCTTAACATCATCAGTCATCAGGGAAATGCAAATCACCACAATGAGATACCATTTTATACCCACTAGGATGCCTATAATCAAAAAGACTTAACAACTGTTAGTAAGGATATGGAGAAATCAGAACCCTCACACATTGCTGGTCAGGATGTAGAATGGTGCAACCACTTTGAAAAACAGTTTGGAAATTCCACAAAACATTACAACAGGACCTAGCATTTCATTCCTAGACCTATAACCAAGAGAAAGGAAAACATATGCCCACATCAACACTTGTACACCAATGTTTTTAACAGCATTATTCATAACAGCCAAAAAAATGGGAACAACCCAATGTCCATCAGATGAATGGATAATTTAATTTATTTATTTATTTATTATTAATTAATTAATTTATTTATTATTTAATTTTAAATGTGGAAATTACCTACAGTGGAATCTTATTTTTTAAAAATTTAAGCAACTTAAAAAATTTAAATACTGATCCATATTACAACACAAAGGAACTTTGAAAATGTTGTTAAGTGAAAGAAGTTCATCACAGAGGACCACATATTGTATGATTGCACTTACGTGAAGTGTCCAGAATAATCTATAGAAGGAAGGTGGATTAGTGGTTGCCTAGGACATTGCAATAAAGAAGGAGTGGAGGGAAAAGTGGAGTGACTGTTAATGGGCACAGAGGTTTTTGCAGGGTGATGAAAATATTCTAAAATTGATTGTGATGAAACTTGTAGAACTCTGAATATACAAAAAAATTGAATTTCTCACTTTAAATAGGTGAATTATAAGGTTTGTGAATTATGCCTCAACAAAGCTGTTATTCAGAAAAATGTTTTGGCCTCATTAAATTATTCTAGTTACCTGATTAATATAATTTCAAAAAGTGGACACAGAATATGTATGAAGATCCAGCCTTGTATAAATTCAATGAATTCCAGAATAACCAACTATTTTATATTATTGTTATCAGAGTCTCAGCATGAATAAAACCCTTCAAAAAAACAAATTCAAGTGTTTTCTGGATGACATTTTAAACGTATTTTGAATGTACCTGGAATAATCTCTAGATATTTTACTAGATGCCATGCTTATTCCAAAGTGAAATAATTTCATGCCATTCAATAAGAGCATCATGAAAAAGAAATTTTATTAACATCTTTTTTCTGTTCACTATAAAGTAGCAAATACATTAAGTTCAGATTCCCCCAACTACTAAAGTATATCCTACATACTATAATAATATAGCATAGTTCCATTTAAAAGATAAATTCTAAGAAATCCAATAAATTTAAAATAATCAATAACCCTGGTCAAGGTCAAGGTATGTTCATTGTAAAAACAGATATACACATACATATGCTTAGCTATTTATCTATATCATATTCCAAAAGACCTATTTTTATAAAGATATATTTTTATGAAGCTATTTTCCTACTAAGCTGAATGTTATTTATACAGTGTCATATGAATTTTATAACTGAAAGGAATGTAAAATTTTTTATTCCAGCCACTCTTTTCACACATTAAAAAAAAAAAAAAAAAAAAACAAACTTGAGACCTAAACTGATTAAGTTTTTGTCCAAAATTATGATTGGGAAGTCGTGGTTTGAAACCAAGCTGCCTAATTCCCAAGAAAATCATGTTCTCACCATACCAAAAGAGCAAGAAAGAAAGAAAGGAAAGGAATTACTCGAAAGTCTATTAGCATGTAAATGGATACAAGTTTATATACCTCTTGGATGTTTCTCTACTTAAATATATATTATTTGTTCTTTTTCATCACTGATAATGAGCTCCCAGAAGGCTGCATTCATGCATGTCTACTTAACTGTTCACTTACTTACTTAACTTACTCTCAACTTGTCTCAGCACATATTTTAAAGAATGATTATCAAGGGTATTAAAACAGAGTGGTAATAACTTAATAACATTATTTAATTTCCAGTGGAAGGCTTCCGAAAACCTCCATGTAGATGAGTCAATAAATTCCCCATGAGGAAACCCAGAGCGATTGCACTTTGAAAGGATTCTTTACAAAGCTGTCTAATTAGAGAGCTTCAGCATAGCATCCACCAACTCTACCATGACTCCTGAAAGAAGCTCATGAAATGATTATTTTTAATGGCTTTACACCAGGTTTGCTTAGAGATCCTTCCCCTTGCACCTCCTCCTTCCCATCCAAATAGTCCCAAAATTGCCCTACTCCAAAAACTACTCTTTTCTTCTCATCAAACTACCTCCAAATCTTCTGTTTATCTAATTCATACTAAGCTGTGAGCTGCTGATAGGTTTAAATCTGGGGAGTGATGTCTCCAGAAGAATTCACGTTTTAAAGGTGAGGTTTCTTTTGCTCAGAATTTCACTAATTCATGTGAGGAGTGAGTGTGATCCTTTGCTGCATCAGCAACACTGGGCTTCAGTCTTTTCTGGGGGCCACGAAAGTCTCCTGACCCCCTACATTCCAGAAATCAGGGGTCAGCAAGTGGATGCCCTGCTTAAGAAAAGCTGTTGACCTCTGGGAAGGAGCTTGTATAGAAGCAAGTGTTAATTTTCAAAATGTGACTGGCTATGATAGCAACAACCTCACCTCATCACAATGTCCCTTGGAATGTTTTCCAGTCAAGGGGTCTAGAAGTGATCTGTCATCACCAGTCAGTGGTATAAAAGCAGCTCATTCTTGTATCCTTGCCCTTCTCCCCTGGACCAGAAACAAAACATACCACACCAAGGCCTCCTCTTCTTACATTTGAATTTTCATGTGTTCAACATTTGTCAGGGCTTCACCTTCAATGACATGGTCAGGGCCCCAAGAAATTATATTTAACACATGAAAAATGAATGCCAGTCCCATTTCTCCATGCCTTGTAATCGAAAGCCACAAAATCTGTGTTTGGGGTGTTCCTATGTGTGCTTATTCTTAGAACAACATTTATAGACACTTTAAATGATTACCCTCCAAAGTCATAAAAGGGTTTAGTAACACACTTTAATATATAATTTCTTAAGCGCTTTTTAATAAAATACACATATATAATTATAATTATCAATGCATGTATGTCATTTAACATAACGATAAAAGGCTAGTCTTTGAAGTGACATGGTGATTAATATTTACAGTAAAACCTAAAGGAAACAGCAATTTGTACAATATTGCTAAATCAAAAAAATTAATAAGTTCTACTCATATCTTTGTAACATTTCAAATCACCAACAGCAAAAAGGAAAATGCTCTCCCTATTAATACATATGAGTACAGATCATTACTTTCCATGTTTTCTCAAGATAGACAACTCTTTTGTTCTAGAATTGTAGTAAGCACTGAGGCTGGGATGGACTTTTCCCATGGCTCATGGCTCATGGCTCATGAGGACTTTTCCCAAATTTGTGTCAAGCTATTAATACCATACAAAATCATCTTCTATAGATCGACCTACTGGAAGTATTTTATGTCCCTTTATGCTAATATTCAATGTAAAACTCAATACTGATTTGATGAGCTGTTAAAAAATCCACGAGGATATTTATCAATATCCATAAACAAAAGTCACATCCTGCGCCAATACTTTTCAAACAGTTATCTGCCTAAATATCTAACAGCCGTGCTGTTTTAAAGGAAAGAAGCAAATCAGAGCTACACCATTTCCCCGTCTAAACTAGAGATGAGTTAAGGCAACTCTGTTTAGCACTGAAAGGAAATCTCACTTAGCTTGGAAAGGAAGTCTGCTTTAGCTTGACAAATATATGAAAGGTAATGAGTCAACGAACAGACATACTATTTTTTTAATTTCTCGACAGACATATGGTAATGCTCCTTATCACGCACTCTTAGCCTTTCCTAGTCATCTCCTAATGTGCTATCAAAGGTACTTGTTTTGAAATCTTAAACCATGTATACATTATTTTAGGGATTTTTCCAAAAATTAATCTACCTTTCATTTTTCTGGTTTTGAGGCTGAAATGCTGTTGAGGTTAAAAGTTTTATAGATCCTTTATCATAATTAGTATCTCCCTCCTTCGTCCTCTAAGAGGGTCTTTATGGTAATGGGCTTTGGCCTTTGCACTACAACCCCCAAAAGACAGATTGCTGCAGATAACCCCCTGAAATTCCTTACAGCGTTATTTAATACCATAAAGGCCTAGAATCTATTTGTTTCAGGAAAGACTCAGACAGAGAAACAAGGTTAAGGAGGAGGGGAGATTTCAACTTGTAGGAGTGGGGAGACATAAATAAGTAGCATAAATGCCTTTTTCCTTACAGACCGCAGGCCAGGGATCTCAAAACAAAATGTAAAAAATATCCTCAATGAAAAACCACATTATAACAATGTAAGGGAAAGCTGACAATATCATTCCTCTTGATTTAAAAAGATAGACATTTCTCATTGGAATCAAAGAATTTGAGGTGGATTTATTTTCTTTTTGGCATTCTACTCATATCATATATTCCCTCCCTGGTGAAAACCAGAATTTAAAAATGTTTACAGAACTCTCTTTAACGGTCTACTTTAACTAAATAAAATGAGCAAAACATCCAAAATACTGGACATTTATTCTCTGCAGATGAATAAATACCTCTTACATACCCAGCGGAAAGTGGAAAGAAGGTACAAGGCTCTCTTCCACCTTACCTAAGTAAATAATAATAGGTCAAGAATTTTTACAGAACCAAGATCATCTCATACCTGTGACAGACAAGAGCAAGCAGGAACACAAAAGCTAATCCTTCATGACTACAGATAGCTCAGAACTAATACTTAGACTTCAGCTGGCTTTGGCATTTTAGGCTCTCACACTGTGCCCAAGAGTAACAGAAATCACAAGACTCTGGGTGCTGGTTTTACTGTTAGTTATCAACAATCAAGTATGAAACTGTGTAGAGCATTTTTCTGATAAATTAAGTTATAAGTCTTGGCCTGGTTAGTATCACTGCCAAGTTTTAAGTATGGTGTTTGGTTTTTAAAAGAGTCGGAGAATTTGGGTTAAGCGTACTACTTATGCCAATACTCTGTGCAACTAAATGAAATAGGGGGGACAAAAGAGGGAGGATGTAGTTTTGCAGGCTGCAAAACTCCACGTGCTATGTACGGTCTACATATATACCATAGATAATCACAGTCTCACCATGAGAAAGTCGAAACACTCAGGGAGCCTTCATTTCCTACTATATGTAAATCTTACAAGCTACTGATAAGTTTCTTTTCATATTGCTTTCAGAAAAAAAGAAAAAGGAAATACATTAGACCAATCTGAGTATGCTTTAACTTCCAGGATTCATCACACCATATGTGCAGACACTTGAGATGATGACAGAGTTAAGCTTCCTAGGGTCCTAGAGTCAAAGAAACTCTGCTGACCCCCACTGCTAAGCAGGTGCACTCCTTCCACAGGGGGCAACATTTGCCGATCGGTCATGGTCCCACTCGGTGAGGACCCCAAGAAACTTCCTTGGGAAGAAACAATTTTCTCAGGACTGGCAGCCAGTTTGGGGGATGTGGAGAAATTATATCCATACAAGGCACAGGGGCTGTGTAACCTGAACGTGTTATAGGAACCCTGATGGGTCTGGTTAGCAGCAAAGGCGTTGCTGGAGGGTGAAGGCATGATGTACTGAAGCTGGGGGGACATCCCCGAAATCTGCATGGACAGGCTGGTCTGTGGGCAGCTGAAAGTGTCCCCATCTGTGCCACCCATGGACATGTTCACCGAGGCGCTGCTGCTCACGCCCACGTAGGAGGGAGTCCTGGGCGTGGCAAAGGTCTCTCCGCTCTGGTTGGTGAGCCTGTTGTAGGTCTCGGCCAGGGATGTGCTGTATCGGTTGAGGGTGAGGCCAGAGCGGGCACAGGCAGAGTAGTCAGCCGGGGCCAGGCTACACAGCTGGCTGGAGTTGGGCCCCAGATGGAAGGCAGGGGAGGAGCAAGGGGAGCCAGACAAAAGATGAGGGTGGGTGGCAGGAACGCCATTCCCAGAGCCTTGGAGCAACGTGGAGGAACTTGTATTTCCTACAAAAGAAGTTGAAATGTAAAGAGCAGCGACTCCACAGCCATGTTTTCCTTTCAGTTTGGTGAACATGAGCTAGACCCAGCTTGTCACAAGGAAGCCTACATTGAACGATGAAGAGGAGAGGGTCTTGGCTCTCAAGGAATTACAATTTAACTGAATTCAGACTGAAATATTTTAGACACAAATCCTCTCAATATTTCCAAGGCATATGATCTTAACCAAGGCAATCACTGTTTTTTTTTTTTAATTGCAGATGGTATCAGGACACTGCCTCATAGATTTTTCACATTTTCTCCCTCCATTAGCTTTCCTCGAGTTTTCTGATTTTCTATAATAAATATTACAAACACTGACTTCCCTGGCATCTTTATAACTTACATCTTACTCTGTATCTTGTTCCAAAAGTATAGCCATCACCTCTCTTCTTTCCATATTTCACTCCTTCAGCAGACCTTGCTCTGGATCAATATGTTTTCTTGCGTGAAAATGGAAAGAATTCCAAAGGAAGAGCCAAACTCGTCAAAGACACACGCTGCCTCAAACTTATCTTCAGCTGCCCACTGAAAGCTTATGTGCCTCAATGGCTAGACCACATGGGGCTATTACAAGAAGGCAATAGTCTAGAACTTCAAAACTCTCATTTCCAACCAGAAACAGGTTGGTGAATCACAAGCTTGTGCAAGAGCAGAGGCCTGCCAGATAAACAGTCCTGTGACATGGAGAGGGTGGTTGACCCTGTGTCCAAACAATAATGATGGTCGCGGCTATCTCCCACTCTCTGGATTCGCTGGCAGATTGATGTCTGCAAACTTGACAGAACTTAGGGGGAGAGGAGAATTCCAACAGACTGGACAGGTTGTAAAGCCTTCATTGCTCCAGCAACTGTGTTTTATACAGCTTCTCAAAATAATCAGAAAGCCCAATCCAGTCAATGATAATTATCTAAAGCCCAGCATGTTAATTGTCACTGGGGTGCTGGGCAGGATCAGGCGTAAAAAGCCCGAGTGCAGGAATGGGCTGAGGGTCCTACCTACCGAGCAGAGGAGGAAGCGTCTTCCTTTTTGCATGCAGCTCCCTCTGAGGAACCACTAGCCTGAGCTTGGGGGAATCACTCAGAGGTGAGCGCAGGAAAGTCTGCCTGAGTGTGCCTGACCTCCTCAGCATAAATCCAACAGGCAAACCCTGCCTAGAGGCCATTCTGCTGAAAGAATCGAAGACAGAAGCTGGCAAGGAAGGGTGAACTGGGACCAGCACGGGCAATTCCCTGTGAGGTGGGCTTGGCACAAGAGCCCACAGTCTGGCTCTAATTCTAACAAGAGATTTAAGGGTGAGGTAAAAGTCCTGAAATATATTGACAGTTTGAAACATCCAAGACTTAACCTATGACCACAAGAGCCATTTTTCTGGTCCCCATCCCCATTCCTCACAGAAAAGAGATGGATCCTGTAACAAAAGGATGTTGGTGATGAGGTCACCATTGTGGAAGCCAAGGACGTCAAGAGTATTTTTCAGCACCTGAGCTTCCAGTCAAGAACCGCCTGCACCTGTGACCCCAGAAACTTTGTGTTTTACCTTGCTTGGGAATTCCAGGGATATCTTCAAAGGTGAGAGTCCGTAGTGAAGGTCTCCAGAATGCATATGACTCCACAAGGGCTTCCAAACCCATTCTAAATGGAAGGATTGGGACGGAGGTGGACAAAAGAAGCCTCATTAGGAGCAGTTGGAGCTTTTGGCAGTAATAAGCAGCTCAGAACACCTCTCTGGTGTTGACAGTGTCCCCCCACATTGGTAGGGCAAGAGCTTGGCACAGGCAGAAAGAAAAGCTTCAGAGATGGGCTACCATTCTGTCACCAGGAGCACAGGATGATGGAAATCACCCAAGATATGCTGTTAACATTCTCAGAAAACTAAGCCAACCTCGGAGAAGAAGAAGCTGTCGCTCTGTGCTAAGGAGCTCAGGTGAGGCCCATCCTAGCTGATGGGAGTCCAAGGCTCTGGTGTGATCTGGAATCCACCCTCTCCCCCATAACATTACTTCTCTCTCTGATGCGGAAGGCTTCTCCACAAAAAGACTGACCCTGTAAAGCCGCTTTTTCTTAAGAGACATTTCTGTCCATCATTTGGTCCCTTGGTAGCCAGCTTTAGAAGAGCTCTCATCCAAAGAAAAGCAGCTTCTCTCTGGGGAGGGGCATAATCTCCATCACACCAAGTGCTGCCAGGATAGTCTCTCCCTTCAGCAACAGGGAGTCCAGGCGGGTCGGGGGGCAGTACTGACCTCTCAGCCCAACATGCAGGAGGAGTATAGAAAGGTGATCTCACATGCCGGCATACCATACCATGTATGGCTCTGGTATTATCAAACATTCTTTTCTGGTCCCTACATACACTTAGTGAATGGATACTTAAAGAGACAGGATAAGTTGGTTGTAAATTATTTATATGATATATACAGATATATCTATATATCTATCTATATCTATTTATCTATCTATCTATATATGTTTGAAAACAAGGGTAACTACTCTGCATATATAAATGTATGTGTCTCCTCCTATAAGTGATCCAGAGTGCCTCTTTCCTTATATCACTATATAATATTTATATATAAATAAAACTAAGTCCTCTAGGTTCTGGAAATGAGGCATTTCACTCAACTAGCCCCATTCTTAAGACCTCGTTAGTCTTCCCTCAACTACCAAAGCCCTAAGCAATTTGTTAATCTTAACATTGTGATTTTCACAAAACATAGAGTTCTGTTGTAGAAAATATCTGCATTCTGAGTATCAAACAATATTCAGACTTCTCTTGTGATTGTTATAAACAGTTTTATTCAACACAGATAATCTGTTTTTAAGGCAAATGTTCAAGAGCGGGTTCTTAGGGGCGCCTGGGTGGCTCAGTGAGTTAAGCCTCTGCCTTCGGCTAAGGTCATGATCTCAGGGTCCTGGGATCGAGCCTTGCATTGGGCTCTCTGCTTCGCCCCCTCTCTCTGTGCTTGCCTCTCTGCCTACCTGTGATCTCTCTCTTTGTCAGATAAATAAATAAATAAAATCTTAAAAAAAAAAAAAGGAAAAAAAAGAGCAGGTCCTTAATCACTTGCACTCAACTTGCTACCTCCTCTGGGTACCTTGCATCCCTAAATCAAGAACTATGAGCCCAAGGCTAGAGGAACCCTCTTGCCCCAGAGTCCTACCACCTACACAGCATGGTGAAAACTCTCCAGACACTCAAAGTAAGTGATATGGCAGATAAAACCACCTTACACAACTTGGCCCACTGTTCTAAGGTTTTACATGCTGAATCTACTTCCTTAGTGTTCAGAGTATAGACTCCATTGATGTGCTAATGTCCTTCATGACTCCATGGAGCGTGCTAGAAGGAGACAGCAGTGTATGTGTGTGGGGGGTGGTACTGAGGGCACGCCCAAGCTCGTGTGCATACACTGCCCTCGTATGAGTCTACACATGGACCTGACTCATCTCTCAAATCACAAGTTCAGGGAGTGCTGCTGGAGCACTTGCAAAAGCCATCACCAGCCCCACACAGGTGCTAGTACAGGGCTGCCAAAGGGGAGAGCAGGGCACAAAGTGGATCTGCACCTGCCTTCCACCTGGGCTGCATGGAGCGTGAAGTGCAGAATCTAGCTTTGGATGTAATCAGTGATCTATGGAGAGAGGACTATTCCGTGGTGAGAACACTGGATTGGGGGTCAGGAGAACTGGGGTGTGGCTCCAACTCCTTAAAATTCACTGTATGACCCTAAGTAAATGTTTTAACCTCCCTGGACTTCAGTCTCCCACAAAGTCAGGAGCAGACTACGAAAGCTCTGCATCCTTTCCTAGCTCTAAAGTTGTTTGTTCCTAAGTGATTTTTCCAAAACCAGACATCATATCTGTGGCTGACTATGAGCCAAATGCAAGCCAGATCCACTCAACAATATATTATGCACATTAAAGTATTGATTTGGGGGCCGTTTGGCCGCTTGTTCAGTCCCAAAACCCCATGTTTCCTGCAGGTTATGTTTAATACTCAACTGATGAATGCTGGGCACCATCTATCTGATCACTATTTAGTTTGTGTCAGGTTTTATAACTTTCTAGAAACAAGCTTTTCTAAATGCTACAGAATGTTTTTATTACCACATAGATGAGTTTTAATAATCCTAGATTTAAATATTAAGGATACCAAAGTGGTCATGGAGTGGTCTCGAGGGGAGCTTGCTAAGAGGTAATTAATAAGCATCCATTAGACTTAGACACTCATTAACTATGGAGACGAGCGTTACTGCATTATGTGTTTTAGCAGTGTAAACTCCATTATGCTTCAAAGACAAATCCATACACCCAATTCCTGAGGAGACATTACTGATCACCACAAACATGTCACCTTCAGCTTTAAAGAGAAGGTTCTGAAGGTGACATATCTACAAGTGATCCAACTTGGAGCTACTGACAGTTTTCTTGAGGCTGCTGTTTCACACTGCAAGTTCCAGAAAGGATTTCAGATATTTTGCAGGAAACAGTTATAAAATATTTAGTAGCTGAATCTGGACTTTTTAAAAAAGGCCTTCATTTTCTCCAGTAATAGAGACTTTTCCCATCTAGTTAAAGGAAAGATAAAAGGCACCTCCCGCAGGAGTGCAGCCAAGGCGATAATTTATACAAGATGCCTTTGAACAATTTCCACATTTTATCACCATCCTAATTTATGCTATCAAATGGCCAAGTTTATTTAGCAAAATGGTTATGTTTTTCCTGAAGTATTTAAAGCAAAGAAATTTCTGTACCTTCCTGAGTAAAAAATTTTATAGGGTCAAACCTAAGGCCTAACTGAAGAATGAAACTATTCTCAGCACATAAATTCTCTTTCACGTAGCAAATGTCTTGCAGTAGAGCTTTTAAGGGCTGAAGCTACTGATTCCTATAAAACAGGCTGTAGAACCATAAATAACCAGGAAGGGATAATTTTTAATTAAAGCAAATTGTTTTATAAAGTTAAAAAAAAATCACAAGTCCATGTTTATTTCTTGTGCTGCTTAATTTGCTTATTTCATATATGGGGAAAAATAAAAACAGTTTATATTGAAAAGTAGTAACAATAACACAACAGACCAGGGGTATTAAAGAAATAAAATGAACTTTTTCTCATGGGCTTTCTTCTCTGTTTATATGAAAAAAAAAAAAAAAATCACTCCCTTCCCAAGCCCACAACACCAATGCACCCTCCAAGTCTTACATATAACTTAAACCTTTTTTTTTAAGGAAAATACATAAGTTAGAAATCTGTAAAGCTGACCAAATTCCCTCTTCTCTATACATGAGTTTTTGCATTTATCAGTGGAAAATATGAAAATTAGCTTTCTAAATAGTATTGTATATAAATATTATATAAATATTTAGCCTTCCAAAATGAGCACTGAAGACCTGTCTATCATAAGCATGGAAAACTAACTTTAATGAGACAAAAAGTAAAATTATTCATTTCACTAATAAGAAAGCTATATAGAGGCAACATAATTTTCTTGTACTATGATATTGTTTAAACATTTGGAGCAGGACAAAAAATTTAAAATTTAACAAAATTTAAAAAGTGTTAAAACATAATTCCTATGTTCTATGTGTCCATTAAAACTTTTAAAAGTTTTAGGGTCAGGAAAGAATAGTAGCAAGAACCACAGATGCCACACCTTGTAAAACAAACGGAAGGAAAAAGTTCATATCAAAGCTAGCATTCTGACCTCATGATACCCAACAAGGGACTTAGTAGTTTATTTTCACCAATCCCACTGATTCTCTTCACTGACCATATTCAAATGCCTTTTCATTATGCTGACATTTCTAGAATTCTTCCTGAAAACTTCTCCTATGCATCTTATCAGCTCACTTCTGTTTGTAGGTTTATTCACTATTGGTGTCTATCCAAATACACCTTTTAAAATATTTTCAAACGTATTGCTTCAAAACTGAACCCACGGTATCCAAGCAGTGTGATTCCCCTAGTGTCAAGAGCAGTGAGGTGTCTGCTAGGTCAATCCTATAGGAGAGCCTGGACACGGTTCCTGGCTATGTATTCCTCAAACCTGAGAGCTGCCTTCATGGAGTTTCAGTGAATTTTTATAAATGTATTCACTGCTTAAAAAAAAATAATGAAATGAAAGAAATGCTAGACCCTTAACAAATACTATACTGCTACCATCAAAACCACAAGAAGATTCCATCAAAGCATTTCTCAAGGTAGAAAAGAAGTCACCCCAAAGGCTCCCATTAGTCCCTCAGGAGTGACCTTCTCAGTTACTAAATTATTCAGCTTTTAGAAATGCCTCTGGACAGCAAAGTTAACCAAGAGCCAATGGAACATAACAAAAGCCACGCAGAGTTGTTCTCACATTAAAAACATCTAAAAAGACAATGATTTCAATATATCAGACAACAGGTATTATAGGATTACTGCAAATCTTCCTACAGAATAAAGAATTCCAGAGGGAATTACTAGTGCTATTGTTAATCGTTTTGTTGATGTACCTGCACTAAATTAAAGGCTACTCTACTCTCAATGCATTTCAGCTGCATTCGAGTCCTCATGCTTCGTGGTGTTTAAACAATGTTCCTGCATATAAGAATATTCTGCAAGCACTTGGCGGTGTTCTGAGAAAAGATCTCTGTCTGCACCAGCTTTGCCCAAATAATTGGCTAGAAGACTAAAAATCTAGACTACCAGTGGACTGTTCTCTCTCTACACTTTTAAATCAGACTGTCCCTAAAACAAAACAACTGGGGCTTTCGACTTCCTATAGAGGTAGCCTATACCAAGTTTTCAAGAATACCAAATTTTCAAGAAGTCTTAGAATAATTTCTGGAGGACAGTAATAAAAACTTCTCAAATATTTCTTTTTAAAAGCTTTAAAAACATTTAAGTCAAAGTTTTACCCTGAAAAGGCATCTGGAGAACGTTAGTCTGTTATTACTCTCTATTACTATCAATACTTATCTTAGAAAATATTGCACCAAACTCTATTGGAATAGAATCACATCCATAAATTAAAAACCCATGGCACACAGACAACGGTGATCTGCTTTTTGATAAAAGTAACAGAATGGAATTCATTATGGTTGCTCTTCCTCCTTGTACAAACACCATAAAACACGACACAGAGAAAATAAACAAGTGTGTGGCTGTCAGCGCAGCCAAGACAAATTTGGAAACTAAAGAACATCAGCTCCCTTGGTAATGGGGCGTTAGTTTCATATTCTAATTGGAAATCTGAGGGAATGGAACCCCATCATATTCCGAAGACAGAATCAATAGATTGTTGTGACATCACTAAGTAAATTAAAGAACAACAGCAGGTGTAGTGAGGCTACTGACTTGGAATATCGAAGGCCCGGGGCCTGAAAGACAGGTTTCCTTAAGGTACCTTCAGAGGTAGCATGCACTGTGCACCCGGAGAACTTGCATTTTTCACCCAGCATCCCACATCAAAATTCACCTTAGGAATGGGCAGGCCATGGCATTAAGCTAAAAAATAAGGTACATCCAAGGCCCAGCGGTACCGACAAATTTTAATCCTCATCAGAAAATTATTTCAAAACCACGTCAGTGGTTAACTGTTTACCTTGTAATGGAAAATTCACAACAAGAAGTCGAATGTATTTATCAGAACCAGAATGTTCTTCACTAAGTCTTACCTGTTACGCCCAGAGTCTCGAAAGCCTTTGGCAAATGGATTCCTATCTATCTTCAGGCGAGTAATCTGGAGAGTACAAAAAAATCTTATCAAATACTATAAACGTCAAGTAAGGCCATTAAAAACAGAAATGGTGGAAGAACTACAAGTAATTACAAAATTATAAAAGCGTTCCTCTCCCCTATTTCTCAGGTATTTTATTATCTTAGCTGCAAAGCTAGAAGAAAATTTCAGAAATCACCTAGACATTCATCTTCTATGAAAAAAAATTCCCCACCCCTGTTTAAACTCTATAATTAAATCTGTTTTGCATTTAATATCACTAGAGAAGGAAATTCTGAATCATCTGTTGATAACCTGTCCTTTGTTTGACAATCCCTCTGAACTAAAAGCTCTTCCCTTTAACTCTGTCACGTGGTTTAATGGTGTTCCTGTAATGGGTAACAGCTAATAACCAACTTCTACCTTGTCAAGTTCCTTGTAACACCTGAATGCCATTAAGCCCCTATGCATCCCTCTCTTCTTCAGATTTAGGTAATACACACTTCTTTAACTTTTCTGCCTCTGTATTTTTCTTTGTCTCTCTTTGGATCATCTTTATGGCTCTCATCTGAAAATTTTATTCTTTCCTCTGTTTTCTGTTGAGTTCTGACCTGGTCAGAGCCCTACAGTGAATGTCTAACCAGAGCTAACAACTACTGGAAGGCGCTAATGAGATTAAATTTTATTCATGTAGTAGAAATAAATGTTTTAATTTAAACAGAAATCTAGGGGTGGGATTTTTACAAGTGGTCTAATCATCTCCATTAAAAGATATTTTTAGTTATACTATCTTGTAATTGACACTAATAACACCTCATCTATTTCTTTTTTTTTTTTTTTTTAAGATTTTATTTATTTGTTTGACAGACAGAGATCACAAGTAGGCAGAGAGTCAGGCAGAAAGAGAGGAGGAAGCAGGCTCCTGGCTGAGCAGGGAGCCCAGTGCGAGGCTCAATCCCAGGACCTGGGATCATGACCTGAGCCGAAGGCAGAGGCTTAACACACTGAGCCACCCAGGCGCCCCGACATCTCATCTATTTCTTGACAGATCTCCACCTTGCCCCACAGAAGTTACAGCCTGTTCTCTAAGAAGCACATCATGCTTTGTTTTCTATGCTCTTTGGTTTAGTGGAATCTACAAAGTTAATGAACATACTTCTGAGAGTGCCATTTTGGCTTAGTACAAATGAACACTGTTGGATAACACTAAGGAAAAGAAAGGGTATCTCTGAAAACTCATTCATAATCCCCCTCTACTATCCTGAAGGAATTCTTGTGAGTTCATTATAGCTTCATTCTTTGTTCATTTAAACAACATTTAAATAACATTAAATACTTTAAGTGTTCGTTTAAAATAGGATTTCAAAAAAGAGTAGAGATTTATACAATGGTGCCTTGTCTAAATAGAGATGTGTTACTGTTGCCATTATTTTTATTACTGAGTGCATACTATGTATGCTGTACTAAGAATTTTATATGCGTATTTCATTTTATTCTCATGTAGTTATTATCCAATCTTATGTTTTCTTTTAAACCAAGGCTTAAGTTTCCTGTGATCATAATGTTACTTGTCCATACACATAGGCTGGGACCCTAGGCTTCAGAATCCCCATGCTGTTAAACACCACCAAGCTAAGCTGCTTACCAATTTTCCCTGAGTTCTTAAAATAGGAGCCAGGAAGTTAAAAAATGAACATCACTGCATTTGGTTATTATCAATTTCCCTTCTTCTAATTTTTTTACCCTATTAATCGATTTGTCAGTTTGTCCATTGGTATTAGTCACCAAAATGTACCAACAAGCCCACTGCATCTTGTTTATTATATCACAGAGGCTAGGAGAAAAATACACATTTGACATTGTTAATCTGTTTGTGTTTGAGAGACAAAAAAAGAGACAGATAAACTGAGGTTGCTTAAAAGGTACTGAATGTCTCTGCTCTTTTCTCCTCATGGTTATGTTTTTCCTCAAAGAAAAAAAAATCATTTTTGCATCTAACATATTTTAAGAATATTTTCCTAATTATCCAATCCTTCTAAAGGTTAACTTCATGCTCCTTCCTCAAAGTCTATGTAAAGGCATAACAATGTGAGTGAAAGGACAGGATGGCTTCAGCTGTGGGGCCGGCGGCTCCACATGGATGAGGGCAGATGTGCCTCCCAGCCCCCAAGGAAGATGCAGGGGACTGGATCCAAATCTCCTCATAAGCTTTAAAACAACAAAAACCACAGCTGAGAGATTATAAAGCCTTAAATTTTAACTGAGATGTAAATAAATGTAAAGAGAAGAGGAGAACCTAAAATACTTCTCCTGACCACTAAAATTTTAAAAAAAGGAAAAAAAAGTCTACCACAGACCACATCAGCCTCAACTACATCAGTATTTTTTATGAAAACTGGCCATAATTGCATGGACTAAATTGCCTTGAATCAATTTTCCACCTATTTGACTCAGCCTTAAAGAAATACATACACTTACATATATTGGAAAGAAATATTTCACTTTTGAAATTATTATTAATTTTATGAAAAGATTACTCCACCACTGCTGATCTCTCAGGCTATAAACATATGTGTCATCCTCTCACAATCAGAGCATATCTTGAAGAAATCGCCATTTTTGTATATATACTAAAATGACTATGTAAGATAAATGCTTCTGAAATATTTCTTATAATACATGGGTTATAGTTTTAAGACAATGTGAATTATCAAATCTTATGCTCTATGATACAATCCAGGTTTCATATTCTACATATCTATTTCCATTTTTTTTTGTTTTTTGTTTGTTTGTTTTTGTAATGAAAGAGAGAGAGAGAGAGAGTGAGTGGAGGGGAGGGGCAGAGGGAGAGGGAGAGAGAGAGAGAGAATCTTAAGCAAGCTCCATGCCCAGTGCAAAGTCTGACTCGGGACTCAATCTCAGACCCTGAGATCACGACCTGGGCCAAAATCAAGAGTCAGATACTCAACCAACAAAGCCACCCAGGAGCCCCCACATGATTTTTAATCTTAATTATGACATCATGATTCGACATCCCAAAATGGAAAGCAAACCTATACTATTCGTCATGAGACACATTCTTTTCTAAAGAAATTCTCACTAGCAGTAGCCTTACTTGGAGAATCATGAAATTAAAAAAATTGTTTATACACACACACACACACACACACACACACACACACACATCCTAGATGTCTTATATGGCAAATGCTTTACTTTATGATACTTCATAACATTTAGATACAGTGAAAAGGATAGCTAGCTTTCCACTGACACCTGAAACAAAATGTCTAGAAAGATAGCGATTCTGAGAACAATACCTGCTGATTCTGATAGGCAGTAACCGTTGTGAAGACAGTTTCTGGAAAGGAGAATGCCTTTACTCCCTCTCCAGATGGAACAGGTTTGATGGGAGAAAGATCATCCCCGCAGTCTTTACGGATGACATGGACCCGCGGTTGGTATTTGTGCATAGAATGAAGAATGATCTGTATCAAGGAAAGAAAGCCAAAGATATCAACAACTTCTGCCCAATCTCAACACCATGACTAAATATTTAATGTGTAAAATAAATCCCAGTTGGAAATAAAAATTTCCAAGGATGTAAAAGTGCCAATGTAACAAAGTATGTCAAAATTGGAAAGGGAGAGTTAAGAAGTTATTTGTAAAATATGCATGAAAATACAAAAGGAAAAAAAAGTCATTATTTTGGTGGAACACTGTGTACAACCATGAACCCATGAACTTAACATCTAATTTTCTATTTATGCAAATACAAGAATAAATTCATCAGCATTTTATTTACAGTGAACCACATGGAACTTAAGAGTCCAAACCAGTAAAACTAAAAGTGAGATTGAAATGATTATTTAAATTCCACCATACCCATCACCTAAAAACAAGCATTTGTGCACCAAGGTTTCTTCAGAGAACATTTTTCCTCCACTGGTGACAACAAAATGTCTATTCAAGGGCAAAAGGATTCTAAGGATACCCAAGAGTCTGCCTTAGATGTGGCTTATGACATCCCTGGTTTTCCTGGAGAACCCAGTGTCCATGTCTGCATCAGAGGGAAACTTCCCAAACCCAGGCACCTGAGCATGGAAAAACTACTGCACTCAACTCTTCTAGGGAAATCTGACTACTTTCTACCCCATGATTCCTCTTCTGAGAATTTATCCAAGAACATATTTCAAATCCAAAAAAAAAAAAAAAAAAGCACTCCATGCAGAGAGAAGGGCAGCACACCATCTTACAACAGTGGAGAAACTATAAACCACTTACATGAGTAGATTGGCTAAGTAACTGAAAATCGACACAATGGGAGAGATGTTATTCAGCCATTACTAAGTGGTGTTTGGGACATTTTTAACCACAAAATAAAATGCTTCTTTTTAAACTTTAAGTGATCCAAGTTGTTTATAAACAATTGCAATGACATGAAGACAGTAAAAAGGACCCACAGAAAGATACGAACAGTGATCATCTCTAGATAATTGGATAATGGGTGAATTTTTTTCTTTTTCTTTTTATGTTTTCAAGGTATACGATATGGAATAAAAAAAAAAAAAAAAAAAGCCTTACCCAGTGAAACTGTCTATTTGCTGCTGGGAGTCCACACTGAGGTATTCATCAATGAGTTTAGTTAATGGAGCTGTGACTTCCCTGAGTTACACGATTTGAATGCACGTTTGGGGAGTTGGGAGTGTTGAGGAGAGTTCCTTAAACAAAGTCTAAAACACAGTGGTTGAACTACCTCGTGTTTTTCAGGATCTGGGCAGTTTCACAAAGCCAAATTCTGAATATTTGGTCAGGCCCAAAACAAATAACCCTATATCTGGAGAATGTGTTTGCAGCCACCAGAGGATGTCTTCCTCCCCATCAGGCAGGTCTGGTGGGCACTGTCATTAGATCTGCTATGCGAGCATCTCTTCCACTAATAGAAAATTTGAGGGTAAAAGAACAAAACAACAGACCACCATGCTAGATGAGGGGCAGCACAAGTATAAGGAAAGGATAAGAGAATACAATAGACCTCCTGGTTGCCTGTGGATACACACATGACTGTGGAACCTCTAGAAGTTTCTTTTCAGGTCTAAAAAAAGGACAGAACTTCACTAAACCATTAGTGGCTCACAAAAATCAATTGAAAAGGTTGCACTGGAAATTTTTTAAATAAAATGATAAAGTAGAAACATAAAGCATATTCCTTATAGTAAGGATAAGTACTGTTTGTTTTTTTAAGATTTTTATTTATTTATTTGACAGACGGAGATCACAAGTAAGCAGAGAAGCAGGCAGAGAGAGCGGGGGGAAGCAGGCTCCCTGCTGAACAGACAGCCCGATGCGGGGCTCAATCCCAGGACCCTGAGACCATGACCTGAGCTGAAGGCAGAGGCTTTAACCCACTGAGCCACCCAGGCGCCCCAGGATAAGTACGGTTTTGCAGAACAGGATCTGTTTTCTTTGTGTGTGTTTGCACCAGGTCATAACGTAACATGAACATCTGGTTACGTGAGTCAGGTAAAAAGTCTCAAAAACATAGGTGTAAGATTTATTCTGATGATTCTAGTGATCAGCAAATTCCACAGTAGAAGAGAAACTGGAGAAAGCTACTTGATGTCAAACAAAAATAAGTACATAGCTAGTTTCAGAAAACTAGAATAAACTGACTTGGATTGAAGGAAACAAAAACTGACTTGGGTTTCTGTTTACTTGTCAATGAACACAGGTTCTTGTTTCATGAAGTTTTTGTTCTCTCAAGCAGATTTCTCCATATAGCTATATATACTTAAATTTTATTTCTTTCTTTCTATCCTTACAGAATTTCCAAAATGACATAAGTTGGGGTATACTGGGGTAGAGTATAGAAATAGCTGATGTATGCCTACGTCTGCACATTAAAGGGCAACTGCGGACAGTAATCTGGGGATCTTTCCAGCAAAATAACAGGCTTTCAATATTACCTATCGGAACTTATTATACCCCCGGATGTTTTCTGGGAATGCTAATCAAGCTTCAGTTCTCCTGTATAAAATGACATTATTTGCTTTTTAATGATCTATCAAACTTATAATGATGAGTGGTCAATAACATATCTAATAAAACAAGTAGAACTAGGAGAACTACTGGCCTTATAAATAAGGAGACCACAATGATAACGCTGAAACTCAAATAATTTTTCTGATCTGCATGCTCCATGCTCTCTGTTCCGTTTAAAAGGAGGATTTTTTTTTTTTCTTTTTGGCATTACCTCGTAACACAGATAGTCACATAGATTAATGTTTATAAACACAAGAATGCTGTCCCATGTGCAGGTCAATACATGTTTTATCCACTATAAAGACATTAGTTTTGAGTCAAAAGAAGTATGATATTATTTGTGTGTTTGTTTGTTTTTTTCAAGATTTCATTCATTTATCCGACAGAAAGAGAGATCACAAGTAGGCAGAGAGGCAGGCAGAGAGAGAGAGAGAGAAGCAGGCTCCCCAACGAGCAAAGAGCCCGATGCGGGACTTGATCCCAGAACCCCGAGACCATGACCTGAGCTGAAGGCAGAGGCCTTAACCCACTGAGCTACCCAGGTGCCCCAATATTATTTATGTTTAATGTGAAGGGCCTACAGTGCCTGAAGTTGACAAACCAGCTGTACCTTACAGAACAGCTCAATAAGGAAACATCACCTCCTGACTCTGGAAATTTTCTAGATGTCCTAAATGCTGGTGTGGGAACAAGTCAAGCAAAGGGCCAAGGAGGAGCAGCTCCCTGGCTCCCTGCATTCTTGATGACGCCTGGTGCTGACTCACTGTAAATGGCAGGGGTCAAGACAGTAACACTGGATCATGAGCTCCGTAGCAAGATGGTCTTGGTTTTATTTCACATACACTGTGTGTGAAACACTCCTTATACACATGCATGTTCAAGTTCATCAGCTCACCTGATTCACTCAGAATTCTCTGGTTCTAACACAACACATGAGAAACCAAGCCTCAGAGACCCAAACTGATATGCTCATGAACATAAACATGTTGGATCTCCAAGCTGTTCCAAGTTCCTTCCATCAAGGAGATCTTGGCAATCCCCTCTGTGATTCCATCCCTCCCCACCTGATTCTCAAGCAGAAAGGGGAAGACGATGAGGACAAACTTAGAGCTGGGGTGACTCTATGTCACTGACTCCTCAGCAGCTGAGAAAGTCCCCTGACTGTGGCAGACTGGCCATGCTTCCTTCCGAAGCACCCCAGCACTATATTTGAGCCCTATGAGCCCTGTCAAGGTTGAAAGACACCATTAAACGTCTTCTAATTTTTTAAAGATTTATTTATTTATTTGAGAGAGAGAGAGAACAGTGTGGGTGGGGGGAGGATAGAGGCCTCAAGAGGGAGACAGAATTCTGAGCAGACTCCCCTCTGAGCATAGAGCACAACATGGGGCTTGATCTCACAACCCTGAGATCATGACCTGAGCCAAAACGAAGAGTCAGATGCTTAATTGACTGAGCCACCCTGGCGCCCTTACTAATTTCTTAGGGAAATGCTCATCTAAATGTTTCCCTCCAGACAACAAATTCCAGATGAAAAGGGAAACATGCACACGATCAGAAGGAGCTAGCTTACCCAAGCATGCTAACTGTCTGTACACTGGTAGCCCAAGGACCAGGCTTTGATTGTATACAATCCAACAGAAAGCAGACTACAGACTCACCAAGGAGTAAGCAGAGATGATCAAGTCTTTACAACATTCAGTGGTTAGTTGTGGACTTATAGGGCATTCCACTCGAGATTCTCACCAATATTCCTCTCTAAGCAATCCCTGGTATTTGGGAAGATGAAGTCACACTGAGGGAAATGGCTTGTAAGTTCATGTTTCATACAGGTCTAGGTCTAGTCACAGCCCTGTGAGGACTTGATTCCTACATTAAACACATCTGTTTAATAAAAATCCCATGTCTACATGCCATTTTCAGGTCACTATTTTAATGCTTCTGTATCTTTCGCACAACATGGGGCTTGATCTCACAACCCTGAGATCATGACCTGAGCCAAAATGAAGAGTCGGATGCTTAATTGACTGAGCCACCCAGGTGCTGAGAACTGGGAACTGAGAGGCCAAAAAAAGTAAGAAAGCAAGTTAGAAAGTAAATTAGAAAATCACTTCTCATTTGATTCCACAGCTTGATTAATTAGAAATTAGTGGCGCTTCCTTTAATATCGGGGGGCAGGAGACCCTCAACCATATGATGGCAGAGGGGTGAGTGCCTGAGAGATTTCCGCATCAGGAAATGATAAAACTGAATTAGAAAGTCCCACCAGAACAGGACTACTGTCTTCCTAGATGCTGAATCACATCAACAGTGGACTAAGAAACAAATTCCTAATCTCAAATCTAACCTCACTGAGGGTCATCAAATGGCATAAATAAATACAATAGACACATTCCTCATGAAACCTTCCCAGTCTCTCCTGGCAGGGGTAATGTGGCGTCAGTACTTCTACGAGCCAACAGCAGGATTATCTGTGTGCACGTCTTCTTTCCCCATCTAGACTAGATCACTGAAGGCAGAGACTATGGCTTTTTATGTTATACTACCTTTTACAAAGTCTCAAAAAACACATGTTTTAAATAAATAATTGAAAAGAGCATTTTTCCTCCTATATTCTCCTCTAGAATCAACTGATTCATACATTTTTACCAGGTGTAAAAGCAATTTTCTTCCTTCCAAAATGGACAGGTATATATCTGTCTCTTCATTTCTACACTCATTAATTACCTCCCTGTATTAAAGTATTACAACCTGCACCACAACCTTAAAAGAAAAATTTAACTGATAGATGATACATTTCTCTAAATTTTGCCTGTTTTCTGCTATGTTTTTTGTTTTTGCTAAAAGCCCAATGCAGGGCTTGATCCCAGGATGCTGGGATCATGACCTGAGTGGAAGGCAGATGCTCAACCAACTGGGCCACCCAGGCGCCCCAATTTAAATTATTTAAAGAAGTGTACCTTATTTATGACAGGTATATTTTTTAGTCCCAGTTACCTCTTTAGAAGAAATGTTCTCAAACTGTAGAACTCAGAAAAGTAGAGGATATTTAAGCTTTTGAAAATAAGTCACACTTAATGGCATTATTTTTAAATTTTCTACTCCAAAAACAAAAGACCTCCTCAATGAATATGCTGGCAAAGTACAGCCAGCTCCCTCAATGAAACAGTAGAAACTAGTGTTCCTTCCCTGAAGTCAAGTGAAAAGCAACTGTTACTACTTGACTATGTACATAAAGAATAAAAAATAAAAAAATGAAAAGAAATGAAGTAATGTACTAAAATATAGGGCATGGAGTTGGAGTCAGAAATGAAATCTATGTTGAGACTTCTGTGATTTTGTTTTAAATCATAAAAGGCAACAGACAAAAGCAATGTAAGATAGATGTATCTTAAAAATCCAGATACTGAATTTGTACCACGATGAAATTCATATTGGATGTTTTTATTAAGGCCAATTGTTTAAGATACTATCTAGCAACTTGCAAATCATTTCCCATCGTAACTTTATTACTAGTTCATGACAGTTTGCATTTTTGTTTTAAAAGATTTGCTCATAAATATACTATATGTCACCCTTCGAGAAATGAACTAGTTGGCATGTATGATGTATACTAACTCTACAAAAGGCATTTCAATCCTGCCTCAACCAAAACCCTCTCAAATAACAAAAGCCTAATAGAAATGCTGGCTTACGATGGAAATCAGCGTGTATCCAGAGTTACTTATATTAAAATAATAACGTAGAAATTTTGCCTAGGAATAATATTGCAAAACAATAAGGGGTTAAAAATCACTGTATTATTGGAATGACTGACTTTGACTTATAAATCATGTTTCAGCAGGTTTAAGACTAAAAGAAATTGTTATTGTAACATATTTAAACACATCAGATGCCATCACAAAACAGCAGGGAACATGAAGATGAAATACACAAATAGTGTAAACCTGGGCCATTACTGAGAAGCAATGAGCTTCAACTAGGAAAAGGGCCGAAAGCAGGCAGGACACAATAAACCATCCTCCCTGTTAACCCAACTGTCAAGTATTCACATTTGGAGCATAATAATTAGCACCTCATAGCCTTTCAAACAAATGTTTTGGCTAACAATGTCTGCCTGAGATTCTATGATTTCAATACAAATGCAGAATCTAGTTTTAACCTATCATGCCTTTCGTAGGAGACGCTTCTGGCAACAGTCATTGTCTCTGTTGTGAAGACAACCTTGATTTTGCACAGATTAGACACACGCTGATCAACAAACTTCAGAGAGAAATTCATGCCCTTCGGTCAAACAGGGTATAGGTCTGGCGACCCCCACCTCCATGGGGGCACAAGAGGGAGGCCATCTACTCACATGGCCTTGGTCATCCAGTTCATTGTTGGTGAGCTTCAGCTTGTCAAAGCTGATCACTTGTCTCATCCAAGTCTCTCCTGAGGCAGGCGAGTCTGGATGGATGTACACCCGTGGCGGCACAGGGGAGTCCGCGTTCCCCGCCACCATCCATTTAGAGCTGTGGTAAACATACCTACAAGGCAATGACAAGGCTCAGTGTACAGACTATTGTTTTCTGGTAATTTCCAAGTCCATTGAATCTGACAAACTGTCTTTTATTTTTAAGTCTGAGAAACAACAATTTGCTCTTTACATCCAATACATATAAAATAAGATTTCAAGTACTCTTCAAAAACTCTCTGGGGCAGCTGAGAGTTTTCTGACCTCTCAGAGTAAGTGATGTGTTGAGGATTTATGCACACCATCACCTCCATAAATTCAAGTACCTTAATTCTTATGATTCACTTATTCACATTAGACATTCCATCTGAATTCTGGTATTTTCCATTTTACATCTGGATATTCCATTGACATGAAGAAACTATTGCTGTTGAGCTTAAAGTTGTCAAGCTCACCTTTAAGTAAATCTCAAAAATACTTGAGAGTTATACCTTTAAGTGTCCCACTTCTTTAAGACCACTTTCCATTTTAGGCAATGTACAAACGAATTAGGTAGATGATAGAAAGTCAAGGGGAAATTGTCAAAAGTTCCATAACTTTCATTTTATTAGAAAAAGAGTTTTAGCTATGATCATTTAGAATATTTTTCTGATTCTATTAAAATAAAAATTGGAGATAATACATTAAGTTTAACTTAAAATTTTTGTATAATCCAAAAATGTAGGTCTTTATCTCCTAAATTTCTCTTTCTCAACACTTATAAGAAAGGTCTTTAGTTTGCAAATATCACTAATCAAATATACATCAAACTTTGAAAATGAAGGTATATCTGATTAATATTATTTTTCTAATTAAGGGACCAAACATCCTCTTCTGTTTGTTTATATGTGTCAAATATATTGACTCTACAAGAATAATACATTTAAATAACAATGTTTCAGGTAATATCATATTATTTAATCGTATATTCAGGTTATCATTTATTATTAACTTAAAATTCACTAATTCAAAAGCTAGAAACTAGTATATGACGATTCACTTAGAAAAGGGTATAAAATGAAGTTATATACCTAGGTGTTTTCCTTCCATTTGTATTTTAAGACATGACATACAATTTAAAGCAATAATTTGTAGATATTCTCAGAGAATTCTACATGTGTAGTAGGCAAATTTCTTTTAAAAAACAGCATGAAACATTTTCATAACATCTCTGGTGAGGCCCTCTGTTTCAACTAATGTCACATATTTCACTCTCTTTTGAGCTCAATATCCCTTCTATTCTTTAATTTCTTTTCTTGGGAAAAAATACATAATCACAAAATTGAGAATAATTTTTCAAAAAGCTTCCCTGAATTGGTATGGCATAATTTCAGTAAATAAGTTCCTAAGTGCATGAGCTCCTGTGAATATTAATTTTGCCTCACAACAAATCACAAGCACTTTTAATTTGACCAAATACCACTCTTTGACAGCAGAGAATAAACCAAAAACTTATTTTTTACTACAGCTAAAAGTTAGAAAATAAAATGCAAATCTTAGAAATGCAAGGAAAAACTGTACTATAGTTATTCCCAAAATAAACAGAGTAATATGCTCTATCGACATACTCAACAGTTCAAAAATCCATACCCACACCAAGAGAATAAATGCTACATGTTACAAATTCTCTGTGAAACTTTCTAAATACAATTGCTAAAACCAAATTTCTTGGAAAGCATTATAAGTGAAAACAAATTTATGATTTACAGTTTGCTCTTTTAAAATCTGACATCTTAATACCAATACTTGACATTTTTCTTGCATTATGTGAGAATAATAAGAATCAACTATGTAAAATAAACCATCCAAAATACATGAAAGATATTTGGAGAAACAGGAAAGAAATTTGGAAGAGAAAGGACTAATGTCTAAGCTCATTAAGAATTACATTATCTTTCGCAACACAAAACCCAGATTAGAATAAAGATTTTAAACCAAGTATATTTCAAGATTAAACAATGCCTTCTAGATTCTGCCTTGTAATAGATAATTTTAGCAAACTCTCTAATGACTTATTTAATTAAAATAAGCAATACAATACAAAACACAAACAATAAAACTGTCTTTTTATTGCCCATTTTTTTAGTATTCCATATGTGCCTGTACTAATTAAATCTGTATACTTTTGACACTGGTAAGCCTGTTTCAAACAAGGACCTCCCTAAGTTTTAAAAAGTGATAAAAATCAAATCTGACTTCATTTAAAAACTTACTAATTGCTCTAGCTGTTTATAAAAAGTAAAAAAAAAAAAAAAAGAAAGAAAAAAAAAGAAAGAAAGAAAAAATAGAAACAAGACCAAAATTTAAAGCAAGCACCTTCTGATCTTCTACTCAAAATTTCTTTTTAAATGTCAGCATTCTTAACTCCTCAGGAAAGTAAAAAGCATTGTCCATTGAAATTTGCTGTTTTGCTTACTTGCAAAAGAAAAAGAGCAAAGGTTGGTTTGAAACTGAAGAATGTGTGTCTTTTCCAACTTTACTTGATACCCAGATAATACATCCTCTTTCAAAATCTAAATCTTACAATGTTCTTTTTTTTAATCTACTGTGTTAACTACTAACCAAAAACCAACAGTAAATTAACAAATTCATTACCAGTTTAAAGATGTCCTAATAGCTTAATGAATTATGAGATTTTATTTTTCTAAATTCAAGAATTTCCTAAAATTAAAGGAAAAGAGCCTGCCAACAGTTATGATTTTTGAACACAACAAGAAAAAGGGAATTTATTTAAAGTTCAAAATAATCACAAAGAAAACGAAACATATCGTTGAATATTACCTAAACCTAAAAAATTAACATTTCCTCCAAAATTCTAATTGAAAAGTGAATCATTTTAAAAGACACAGTTTAGCAACCCTAAACTAGCCTCTATTTAAAGTTCTCAATACTTAAAGGACATTTCTGTATCCATTAGAAGCAAAACAATAATTAAGTTTCCACATTTACTGCAAGAGAAGGCACCGCGTGGGCTACTGGAACTGTCCGGGAGTTGGGTTATAGATCTAGAAATTCTACAGACTTCTGGAAACAAACATCAGGGTTGTCACAGATGAAATAGGCACAGCCTGGAAAATCCTAGAGTATTCTTATCATGCTGTATCCATCGGATCACTGTACCTGTATCTTTTGTTGTCCACTGGCACAATGTCCATGGCAATGTAATATTGCTGGTGAGGATCTAGTCCTGAGATCTTCACTCTCATTGCTGGAAACATGCGCCTATGCACACGGAGGGGAGGAAACAGGATATGGGTTTTGTTTTTGTTTGTGATTAAGCAAGGAGAATGAATAAGCGAAGAAACCCCTGGAAACCTCTCGGTTTTTCATATGGACAAATTTATAGCGTTCACTTTGATAACGTTAATTCAAAGAATCAGAACACAGGATGCATCAAAACTGAGGCTTTTAAATGTAATTTGCTGTACCCTGTCATGCACTGTGTTTACTGAAATGTCAGTACAGCTAAAAGAATTTTACACTGAAGGAGTAATGGCATGGAAAAAAAGCAGTTTGTTTTTTAAATAAAAATCAATGAGCATATTTACTTCAATAATACAAACGATAAAAATGTTCCAAAGTAGAAATAGAAAATCTGAATTTGTACGAGTGATAAAATATATTATAATGTGAAATTTTAAAAGGGTTATAAAAAACCACAAGGAGCCAATGTGCCATGCTATAACCAAACAATATGTTCTTTATTGAGACAGGACTTCCTGTCTGCAGCATGGTAAAGGTGAAGTGCAAAAGTTGCTCTAAATTTGAAAGGTATAGTAAAACTTCTTTATTGAAAGCAGAAACTAAACACAATGTATATTTACCAAATCATTCCTCCCCCCCACTATACCCTGGAAATACTTTCCTATTTAACCACACTTACTCAAAACTTTGCTAATTAAAACAAATAAAAATCTGCATTTTTTAGGCTTCCCAGAGTTGCATATCAAAGGAGATGCTAAAGTACACGGGCTATCTTTTAAAAAGGATGCAGTAGCAAGAATCTAACAGAAAATTACTGTATATGAAAAACAAATAGAGCAGTTCTTTTTTTTTTTAATTTCCATCTAATGATTTATGTCTAGGACCCTTCCAGTTAATTTAATTTTTGCTAATTTAACCTTATAACACAAATTTTAGCACTGTTATTTATCAAAAACTTTTTCTGTAACAATAATGCCACTAAAAACCACTTCCAGAGAAAAGAAAGTCCATTATTCCTAACTAGGCATGAGAACAGTTTAATATGCTGGCTGTTTTAGTGTTATTTCAGTGCACCTGTAAGATAAAGAGTAAAGGTCTTTAACTACATCCTTTATAAGACAACTGTTGCTTTGTGTTGTTGAAGACTGAATTTGGATCATTAATAAAAGCTCTGTGAAAACGTAGAAGGTAGCATATGGATTCAATAAAATATGTTTTTGTAATTTCTAATAAGTTTGGATACTTTTATGCTATCCAGGTTTTTGCCATGTGTACTCCCTGAAAGAGTTGCTGTGCTTTTAAGGAAGATTATTATTCATAGATTTCACTGCACTAAACGAACTGAAAACTTTAAAATGCAAATACTTCTGTGTTTCCTTCAGATTAATAGTATCTGGCCAACAAATCTATTTTTTACTAACTAATGAATGTGCAAATTTCACAATTTCAAAAAATACATATAACTTCCTACAATTTTTCTTAGTATTCTTCAGCAAATTGAGACGAATGTGTTGGATTTCATTTAGAAAAATATATATATATATAACCACGTAACCGGATCTACAAACGGAATGGTTTTTTAAAAAAACGGGTAATTATTTTTGCAGGGATTATAATGTATTACTGATGATTCCAGTAACTTTTCATTCCAGTATAATATCAAAATAGCACAAGACATCACGTTCTTACATTGCTAAGAAATCTTTTGATAAAGAACCAGCCTGGAAGTCTGGAATCTAAAAAAAAAAAAACAAACCATAGTTTTCTAAAGAGTAAACTGAGGTTTCTTTTTTTTTTAAGGGGTGGGGAAGGTTAAGGGAAGTCATCTGTTCAGTAGTTCCAGAAAAGATAACTAGAGCCTAAACACATGCCTGGACGGACGTATACATAACCACGAATCTGAGACTACCCAGCACACGGAGTATCAGCCGCAGCCTCTGGCGCAGCCGCATGTGCCGCCACGGGGATTTTCCCCTAACGTCCAAGACCGCCGCGGGGCAGTGCCCCTCGCCTACTGCACTCTGCTGTAGGCGGGCAACGCCAGTCTCAAAAGTGAACCACAACCCGGGCCTTGTCTTTTCTGTCCAAAAATGCTAACCAGAGACTCCACAGCTCTGCAGACCCTTCTCCTTCCTAACCCATGATGGGGGCGGGGGGTAAGGTGAGACCAGGGCCCGGGCGTTGGCGACAGATCACCCTTTACCTGCCCGCCTTGGTGATGATCATCTCCGTGCCGATCTCGTGAAAGCGCTTCCAGAGCTCTGCTCCCTGCAGATCCACCCGCGGGGCCTGCGGCGAGGGCAGCGGGGTCCCCGGCCGTGCCAGGGGGGGCGCTGGGGACCCCTTCGGGGATCCTCCCGGGGACGCCAACGGAGAAGCGCCCTGCAGGAACCCGTCCTCACAGCCGCCTGGGCAGCAAAGGCAAAGAGGGGTAACGGTGAGGGCTCGTGGAGGAAGTCGGGTGGGGAGACTGACCCCCGAGGGCTGCTGGGGAGACGAAGAAGGACCAGGAGAAAAGGGGGAACTTTCGTGCCTTCGGATTCTTCTAACAAACAGGCCCGGGGTAAACACCCGCTCTGCCAGCCTAAGGGACTCGACGTGCTAGCGAGGCCTCCAAGGACCGTGAACCGCGGAGGCATGAGGGCCGCGTCCACCCCTCTCTCCCGGCCTCTGCCGGGTCAAGGCCCCAAGTAAGTTTCGCGCCGCCGCCGGGGTCTTGGATACATGGCCAACTGAGGCTGAGATGGATTCCGAGTCCAGAGCCCCACTGCAGACCCCGACACACCGACCACCCGAAACGCACGCAGAGAAACCGCCGGGCGTCCGGCTCCCTGGTGCGAAGTGCCTGGGCCTCCTTTCCCGTTAGGCGTCCGAGGCCCCTCGCCTTGGGCCCGGGAGGAGGCATCCTCTAGAAAACTCTTAAGCCTCCGCTCGCGCCGAACTCCCCGACCGCCCTTAGCTCCCTAGCCAAGCAACGAAGGGGCGAGCAGAGCGCGAAAAGCAAGCCCACCGGGGCCGACGGCCTCGGCATCGGGAATCCAGAGGGGAAAGGAAGGGCTCAGCTACCCCTCGGGAAACCACGTTTGCAAATACGCCGCCCTCTTCCTGGTTTGCCCAAACTGTTTAGGGCATTCGTTCCGGTTTCGGGGGGGTTATGCAGTCGCTCCCCCCACCCCCTTGCTTTTTTAAAAGTTAGGAAAGAAAAAAGAGCACCCATTGGCTGGAACCCCAAGGGAGGCAGATGCGGAAGGCACAGACCTGCACCGCCGAAAGCCTCAAAGAGCCGCGGCCGAAGGCGCGGGTCGCCGAGTGGGCGGCGGCAGCCTGAGAAGCGGGGCTAGGAGCTGCATTTTAACCGTCTGGAGGGCGACCTGAGTTGAGCGGCGATAGCGGCCAGGGCTGATGTGAACTTCGCGCGCGGACACCCAAGGCCAAAGCGCTGGTGGTGCACTGCCTCAGACACCGAGGGGCACCGAGCGCGCGCGCGCCCTAAACTCGCAGAAGTTCAGGTTCCCCGCGGCCGTGCGGCCCCGCGGGACCGGGAGGGACGCGCCGGGAAGAAGTTAGGCGGGAAAGGGCCGACTCACCCGCGGCTCCGCGGGAGCCGCAGCTCCGTTCCAGGTCGGCGCAGCTCCGGGCTGGCCCGGATGCCGCCCCGGCCGGTGGCGGGAGTGCAGCGCCTTCGTCTCCCTCGGAGGAGCCCTTTTCCCCGGCGCCACCGCCGCGGCTGCAGCCTCCGTCATCTACCGCCACGGCCGCCTCTTCCGCGCCCAGCTTTCGTCGCTTCTTCTGAAGCTGTTGCTGCTTCTCCGCGCCGATCAGCGCCTCCACGGAGAAGGCGTGCGCCTTAAGGCTTAGCATGCTGCACGGCGAGCCCCTCCGCTTCTCGGCCATCCCCGCCGCCTGGCGCCCGCCCGCCCCTCACGCATATACACTCAAGCGGGCACACGTACACACTCGCTCTACTCTCCCACCAAAATCTGAACGACTCTCGGGGCCTCCCGCAGGCCGATCTGCCCCCTTCCCTGCCGCGGGCAAAAACAAATTTGGCGTTTCCTCTTTCTCGCTTGTGTTGGGATCCGAGGAGCCAGCGACGCGCCCGCCAAGTTTCCTTCCCTCGGTCTCTCGCGCGCGCTCTCTCACTGATGCACTCCTTCGTTCCCACCCCCTCCACCTCCTCCTGCTGCTCCAAGATCTGCTTCGACTGATGCGCCAGAGAGGACTAACATGGGTAAAAAACACTCTGCGGACACAAATTAGGGATTGTAATTGAAATTTGTTGCCTTGATCTGTCAGCACTTCCAGGCAGGAGAGCGGTGGGAAGAACTTGCTCATTAGTGTCAATAAAGTGGCGAGGGTGGAGTCTGGGGCCCTGTCAATCACCGGGAAGTCCAGCCAATCAGGCGGCGCCGACAGCGCACAGTCCGCGCCCACTTCCTTACAAGGTCTCAAAAAAAAAAAAAAAAAAAAAGAGAGAGAGAGAGAGAGAGAGGGAGGGAGAGAGAAAAGCGCCGCCGTCTGGCTTGGAAGTGCCAGCCCCGGGCGCTGAACCCGGTCTGTCTCTCTGGCTGCCACATCCCACTCCAACCCGAGTCTCTAGTTTTCCTCACCCATTCCTAGGAAGGGTGAGGCTTCTCCTGGCTTTAAAGCTAGATATCACCAAGTTAGAATATCAAGAATCTTCCAAGAAACTTTAAACTCCAGTCCCACTCCTTTATCACTTAATATTGCTACAACTCAGAACATTTTTGAGTGGGGACAATAGACAGCCACCAGGCCCGTCTTTTCTCATTTAAACATTCCCGCATTTAGTAGCGCCCACTCTGCCAAGAATGGCATTAGACTTGTTTATTTATTTATGTTTCTGTTTTACTTAGTGGCTTTTTCTTGGGAAGCGTGTGGGAATTCACGGTATATTTAAATCCTTTATATTTAAGAGAGCAAAATTTTATATTATCGCTTAGTCCCTCATATTTACTAGTCTGTAAAAGCACACCCTTTTCAGAGCCTCCCTTTCCTTTCAAAGCATGATGATAATTTTAAAACGTTAAATCGTGGGATGTTACCTCTATATGTCTTCAACGATAAAGATTTAGCTTTAAATCTCCTAAAAACTTCGCAAGGTGAAATGTTTTAAGATATAATAAAATTTCTATTGCACTTTTTTTTAAACGTCTCTGTGATTTAACCTAACTCCATATTTGTCCTCCTTTAAACAATTTGCCACTACTTTTCTCAGGCTTTTAAAGAGCCAACTTGTTTCTTTAAAGCAAAATTTAAAAAAAAAGTTTTAATTGAATAACATCAGTCATGCATCCATACAGTTTATAGTTTCAACTCGATTTTTTTGGGGGGTCAGGATTAACCCCCCAAATGGTTTTGGTGTAAATAGAGCAAATATAGTGCAGAAGAAAATTCCTGATACATATTATTCTTAGATTTTTGGTATAAAAGGACAGGGTTGTCTTTTTTTCGTGCTCAATTCAACCTCCACAACTTGTTATCTCTGACTTCTCGCTAAGCTTTCAATGGGATGATAAGGAATAGCTTCGCCACTGTGATCTTTTTACCGTAGCGCGGGCGGAACGCCCCGTTCCTCCAAGGTAACAAGAAGAGCCGGGACCAGAGCAGGAGGTGCCTAGGCGTATCCACGATCTATCCTCCCGACCCGGCCCCAGCAGCCTGAGTCAAAAACGCCTGGGTAACACCCTCGAGGAAGAGGGCTCTTTTAAACTTGAGAAACAGATTCGACTGGAAGGATATGTTTTGCATTTGTAAAAGAAGGCTTGCAAACAGTCTGGAGCGGGGCAGACCCCGGAGGGCGCCCTAGGCGGGTAATACAGCCTAAAATGTAAGCTCAAACCTGATTTCTGTAGGCTAGCGGAAGGGGAAGCAGGCTTGGGAGAGCAAAGAAGCCACCTCGAGGGCTTGGGCTGGGAGTGGGAGTGGATGGATGGGGGGGGGGGGTCGGTTGCAAACTTCGCTGGAGGCTGCAGCTAGAGCTCCGCGCGCTGGGCGTATGAAACCCGCACCAGCAGCCTGCAAGGTCCCAGCTCCCGGCTGCAGGCCCAGACGCGAAGGAGCGAAGCAAAGCGCCTTGGGATAGCCCTTGAGACCTTGGAGGAGGCTGCGAAGCCAATGGGTGGAGTCACCAGGACCACAGGCCTGTACCGGTCCTGCCGCCCGAGAAGGAGCGGCTCATCCCGAGAAACCTGAGGCCGGCCGCCTGGGACGAACGTATTTTCCAGACGTGAAGCTTTAGGTGGGTTCTTGTCCATTTATATGCTCTGCAGCTCAAACTGATATAGAAGGGACTAGACGGCCTGCAACGGCGCCCTCAGGATCATGCAGCTCAAAGGTCTCCTCTGTCCCTCTTCCACTTTTCACCTTTACCTAGGGCAGAAGGGACCGCAGACCCCGGAGCTCACAGACACCTGAGTACTTATGTCCACATAGACTACAAGCTGGAAAACTGAGCCTCGCAGACACCCAGGATGTCAGATAGAACGTGACTCTTACGAATAGTCCAGGTGTGTGCTAGGTGTCCAGGGCAGAAGGAAGAGTTGGTCCGTTTAGTACAGGTCCAGACTAGGCTTTGGGAACCCTAGCGATAGAGCCGCACGGCCGCTCGCCGCCCCGGATTCGCGCTGAATCTGTCCAGGCTTCCGGACCTAACGAGACCAGCTGCACCCGACCCCGCAAAGCAGCTAGTCGAAGACCTCACCGCACTAGGACCCTTGCTCCAGGACAGGGGGCGCCCCACCCCTCCCAGAAGCCGGAGGGAAGGGAGGCCAGAGTCCGCAGGCAGAAGGATTCTTGACCTTCGGTGTGAAGGCGAAGCCAACGCCCTTAGAAGGTGTTTTTCTCAAAAGCGTGGCTTGCGCGTGTCAGGGCCATTCCAGGGCCTTGCACTTTGCTTGTCGACAGAGCAAAAGAAACGGGACAGGACGCGAATTGGCAGAAGAAAAGCTTGGTGGAATACGTGTGCGCGTGTGCACATGTCTGTACTTGTGTGCACGTGAGTACCCCTGTGCGCACTTGTCTGTGTGTGCACTTCTCAGTATGGGCCTGTGTGCGTGGATGCGCGTGTGTGCACCTGCGCACATGTAAACGTGGAGGGGTGCCTAGGTACAGACAGCATGAGCCTCCTGTCACTTTAAGAGAAAATGTCTTTTCCCAGGTTGTGCTACATTAAGGAAATGGTTAAAACTAAATTAAGCTGTCAGCCCTCTGGCAAGACTAGCCAGGCTCTATTTCAAATAAAAGCCACCCAGGGAAGAACATTATCAGAGTAGGTCTATCTCAGAGACTTGGTGAGAAGGGAAAGGGCATACAAGCCTTGCATATCCAGGTCTGGGAGAATGGTACCTAGTGGGCTGTATCCAAACAGCAAAGTGAACTCTGGGGTAGGGGAGGGAGGATTAAAAGGCATGTCTGGTTCCTTCTGTTTCTTTCTTTTCTCTTTTTTCTTTCTTTCGCAGTTTAAAATTGGATTGTTAGAAAGATTCTTTTTTGAAGCTCATTCTTTCTGTAGACTCTATTATCTATGTTTAGATATAGCTTACCATTTCTTATCTAGGTTACTATTATTTATATTATTGTATTTTGTTTTCTATTTTCTATTTTTGTGTTTTGTTTATAAGCGATTGCTTATTTTTAATTCCAAATTTTAAAGTCCTATGTGCCAGGATTTCATTCTCTAAATAGACTAATTTTTCTTTTTTTGTTTTTCTTTTTTCTTTTGCACTTGACAATCGCTGTAAATTTCCAAATTCGTGTTTGATTTCCCAGACTAACAATTCGACACAGGGAGGTTTACCCTGGCATACAGGAGGGTCTGTGTTTTGCTCCCTGAACTCGAGATGCACCATGTAGTCTCTGAATTTCCAAACAGGCAAGATCTGGACTTCCTTCCCACGCATAGAAAGACATTTTATTATTCGCTAAAATACTAGCCTAGCAAGAAATAGAGTAATACATAGGAGAGTCGGGGTGAAGGAAGGCCCAATCCAAGCCCCAAGAGGGATACTTATTTGGCTGTGTTACTTTGTAAGTTGATCTGGGAAGGAACCATATCCTAATTGGGGGCCAGGGATGCCAGAAGCCGCCCCGAGTCACAGGACCGCACCACATACGTGGGCTAGGGCTCTCTGTCTCCTCCCATTCCCTTCCTTCTTGTACATACTCTTCTTTGTGCCTCTCCCTCTGATTTGGGTTAATAAAAATAACAAATTATAATCTGCAAGATTCCAAAGTCTACAGGAGTAAATGCAGGCAGCCAGGGTCTGTCTGGCTGCGCTCTCACCGGCTTCTCTGCGGAGTTGCGGGCTCCAGCTGCAAACCCAGGCCCCGCGGAGAAAGCGATACAGAACCGCAATACCTCACTGCAGCTTCTGTCGCAAATAGCACACACACAGACAGCACCTTCGCACGGGCTGGAGCCTGTTTACCATCTTCTCTTCAACAACCAGTCTGTTCCATAATTCCGATCATCTGAGACTTGAGTCCGTCTACAAAAGAACTCCACCAGCCTACGGAAGAGCCCTTTAGGGCTCCAGGAAACCCAGAGAGATTCTCCTGTAGTGTTGGTTTTCAAATCAAAGCTCATTTCTCATGAGTCTTAGAGGAGGTGCAAGTTTTGGTAAAGCCAAGGGAAAGTGTGCTCTGAGGTTAACCTTGTCTTCATTCCCCCTTCCACCAACCTCCAAGTTCTCCAGTTTAGAGAAGGGAAAGGAAGGAAGAGAAGAGAAGGGGCCTCTGACCTACCAAAACCAGGGTTGAGAGGTGCCCAGAACAAAACTCACTGCACTGGGCTCATGAGCTTCCCCATTCATGTCCTATTTTCAGCAGTATCTGCTCTGCCTCCAGAATATACTGCAATTATTTTTCACCCTGTGCTGAAAAAAATCGCTGCTTCACTTCCTCATTCACTGACCCACACTCCTCCCACAGCCATACAGTTAGGGGTTAGTAATAGAAATGTCCAAGAAGGCCACACTATTTCTATCACTAAAACCTGATTCAAATATAAGGTGGCTTGAAGGAAGTAATGGAATTAATATCCAGATGTAAATGAATACACAAGGGTAGGTAGTTGGACCTCACTGATACCAACATTGCAACAGATTGATTTGGATATATATCAAACTGAGACAGTGAGTGGGGAATTTAAATTATATCCTCAAATAGTTAATGGACATTTTAGTAGCTTATGCTATATAAAATTATGTTTAAATTGATTTTTAAAATATGTACCTTCATCTTCTTTGAGTTAAATATGTAATACTATTTCCCTATAAACAAAGATTATCTTAGCCTGATGCTTTACTAAAATGAGTTGAAAATGGAACTGAGCATCCCTAACTCTGTTCCATTTAAGATTACTAGCTAGGGTTTTTAGCTTTTTATAAAACTTAT